AATTGAAGTTTCACAAAAATATCTCTCATCTCACTGGGGAGCAGTGGTGCTGTGCACAATTTTGATTCATTGCTCCAGTCCCATAAACGCACAGGGTTTCAGATCTTGCCCTTTCTGCTATGGAATGGTGTGTTTTTATTAAGCCTACTGTAATATATACTGCACCACTAAACTTCCTGGAACAAAACATTAATGATTTTAAAATATGGTTTGGTTTATTCTTGAACACATGCCATGGCCATAGACAAATCAAGTGGTGTCATGTGGTAGGGTGCAATTTCTTTTTCTTAATTCATTCATGGGATTTGGGTATCACTGGCTGGACCAACATTTATTGCCCATCCCTAATTGCCCAGAGGGTAGTTAAGAGTCAACCACATTGCTGTGGGTCTGGAGTCACACGTAGGCCAGGCCAATAAGGATGGCAGATTTCCTTCCCTAAACCAGATGGGGTTTTTGCTGACAAATGACAATAGATTCATGGTCATCATTAGACGTTTAATTCCAGATTATTGTTGAATTCCAATTCTACCATGTGCCATGGTGGGATTCCAACCCAGGTCCTCAGAACATTACCTGGATCTTTGGATTAATAGTCTAGTGATAGTAACACTACACCATTGGGTACCCCAAAATTTATTTGGAGAAAACAGATTTCTACAGTTCTTCCCCACTGAGACCCTCTTCAGATTATATCTGAATCTTCTGCAGACTAACTGATAGAGACCAATTGCTGTAGTAGTCGACAACTCTATCATCAGTGTACCATCTGACCACCAGAATGGTAGACAGAAAGCTAGATGGGCTGTGATTTTTATAATCCATCAATCGTTGTACTCCTGGTGTAACTTCACTCACTGTTGCTTTTTGGCAGCTTGCCGTACAAAACAAAAATTGCTATGAGTAAGCAAACTTCAAATTAATTTATGATAGGAGTTACATTTAGGCCTCTTCAAACCTTATCCCACTTTCCCCTACATAATACTTCCCTCTTGAATAGTAAGGGAGAACCAGTGAGTCTGCCTCATGGTGACAGCTTTGGAAAAATGGTAGCTTGTAATTCTACATTATCTCTTTCATTAACACTTCATTGGAAATAATCTGCATTATCACTTTAATCACATCTTTAGGAGGGCATAACAAGAAATGACACCCAACAATACAGTTATCTTTACTCCCAATTTATGAAGGAAGCTACTAACCCAAAAAGCACTGCAAAAGGATAAACAGAATAAATGCAGGGCACTATCAACTGCAGCGTGGAGGGTGGCATGAGACAAGGGGTGGGAAAGGTTTGGCAACACAAGCTATCGAAATCCTGTCCTGTTCCCAACAGCGCCTAGTTGATTTTTTTTTCTTTATTCATTAACGGAATGAGGGCGTCGCTGACCAGGCAGCATTTGTTTCCCATCCCTAATTGCCCAGAGGGCAGTTCAGAGTCAACCACATTGCTGTGGGTCTGGAGTCACATGTAGTCCAGACCAGGTCAGGATGGCAGCTCATGGTCACCATTAGATTCTTAATTCCAGATATTTATTGAATTCAAATCCCGCATCTGCCAAGGTGGAATTTGAACCCGGGTCCCCAGAATGTTATCTGGGTCTCTGGATTATTCTATTCTTGTTTTTAAACTTAGCAAAATTTCTGACAGCAATAACAAAATACAATAGAAATACTAACCTTCCATTCTTTCCTGAAGCAATTAGAGTACAGGAGCCTCTTGCTACTCAAACAATACCCGAAGTTCCAAATTTAAAGACTAACATGTGAAACGGCAGAATTGAATTCAAATACACCAATAATTTATTAACGGCATCAAAAATGGACCATAAAGATTTTAAAGTCACAGTCAATATCCAAATTGTTCAATAATATCTTTCAGGGAAGGAAGAAGAAACAGGAGTAAGATATCAAGTCCTCAACTGTTTGCCGAGCAGAAGTATTGATTTTATCTGTTCCCCTTAATATTTTGAAAATGTTGATCAAATTGTCACTTAACCTAAATTCCCAGGAATGCAACAACAGTTTATAAAATATTAAATTATAATTTAACACTTGGGGTTCAAATATCATTGAGTAAATCTATACTACCTGTAGACCAAAACAGATATATCAATCCTAAGCTATGATATCCAGAGCTGCTTGCAGTACTCCAGATGTGGCCTAATCAGAGAAGCATAATTCTATCGTCTCAAATGCTCATTCTCTAGATATAAAGATCAGCATTCTATTAGCCTTTCTTGATTATCTTCTCAAAGCACTCACAACATTTTAATGATCTTGGGCCCCAGGTCCCTTTGGATGTCCAATGTACCCAGCTTTTCACCATTCATAAATATTCCTTTTTAGGTCCAATGTGAATAACTTTACATTTACCAACATTTAAATCCATTTGCCACAGTTTTGACATTGTCTTAAAATTATACATACATTATGCTTCTACTTCCACTGTCTACAACGCCCCTTAATTCCTTTTCATTGGCAAACACAAACTTGTGGCTTTCTAATCCATTATCCGAGTCATTAGTAAATAGCGAAAAGTTTACAGCACTGATCCTTGTGGGACACCACAAGTCACATCCTGCCATTGACAGTGACTATTTCATTGCCTCTACTGTTTCCTATAGTTCAGGCAACTTCCCAAGTAGCTCAATAATTTTCCTTCAGTTCTGGGAGTTTTAACTTCAGCTATACGGTCTCTGTGAGGAAATTTATCAAATGCGTCTTGCAAATCCTGATTAATTATTCCATAGACAGTGCCCTGTCCATCACATCAATCAGCCTTGTCATTCTAATCTTAAATACAGACTCGGGTTGTTTCCTCAACAATGGATGTCAGACCAACTGGTCTATAATTCCTTTTTCTCCCCTTTCACATTGCTTAGAAACCAGTTACCCTTACCTGGTCTGCTGGATATCTGACTTCGTTCTCGTCCAACACAAATGATTCAATATCTTAATGATGCATAGGAACTGGACAATAAACACTGGCTTGCTATGCCACCAAAATTGACAGCCATCTTTAAAAATCTGAAGCCTTGCATATTTCTTTCATTTCATTTACAGGAACTTAGTTCTTGGGAAACTTATCCATTCCTACAGCACGAATGCTAGCCAGAGGCATGACCTCCAAATCATTATCAATGTGCGGTGATAACATTCTGAGAGGGGTGCCGGGAAGACGGTGAGACTTGAAGCTGTGTTTGAGACTCCTAAGGACTTAACTGGGACAATATAAGCACTATTTAAGAAGCAAGTGCAATGTTTCCAATGTTTATTTGTGTTATGGCAGGACATCTGGGAATAAAAGGGTAATTATCTAATTGAATGATAGAACAAAATAAGGAACAGAATGGTCCTCCCCCGTTCCTATCCTTTGCAGTTTGACTTTGCTAATTAATTACAGGGGCCATTTTGGGGTAGACGGGGGTATAGAGGTAATGCCAGTGGGTGAGCAATCTTGACGCCCAGCCTAATACTCTGGGGATGCAAGCTGAAATCCCACCATGCCAGCTGGTGGAATTTAAAATTCAATTCATAAAATTTAGACTCACTGAAGGTGACCTTGAAACTATCAATGATCAAGATGAAGGGTCTAGGCCCGAAACGTCAGCCTTCCTGCTCCTCTGATGCTGCTTGGCCTGCTGTGTTCATCCAGCTCTACACCTTGTTATATCAGTGATCAAGTAGCATCTGATTCACTTTAAAGATGGAAATCTGCCATTTTTACCCAGGTTGGCCTATGGGCGAATCCAAATCGTCAGCAATAACGTGGTTGACTGTTCTCTGAAATAGTGTAGCAAGTCACTCAGTTCGAGAGCTTCTACGAATGGGCAACGAATGCTGGCTTTTCCAGTGATGCCCACATCCCAAAGACTTTGTTTTTAAAATAAATCAAAAGTAGCAGAAATTAGGCTTGTGGTCGAAAAACGAGAGAGTGCACAGATGCTAAATGGCTGTTATGTGATGCATTTGAGATGGCCGTGAATTGCAAACAAGGTGCAACTTCTAAATGATCATTTTCAAAAACTGTTCCTAAAATGTTTAAAGGTGATTTCAAAAGATCTGAATCAGTGGGAGACTGGTCCTCAACTTCCACATGAAGCCAAACCTCTGATACAGCATCAAAATATCATTTCTCAATGTCCCTGGACAATTTTTTAAAAAAGTATTTCTACCTTGCTGGCTCTGCCGAGGTCTATGGACGTCAGGAACACCTTCAAGACAATGACAGACTTGAGTTTAACATACAGCTCCTTCTGTCGCTGTTTGGACTGCAGTAAGTCCGGATCTGTCTCTTAAACTATGCAGCGAACACAACACCAGAAAAGGTAGCAACTCAGAAAATATCTGCTGAGAACCTTGGAAACCTGATGTTTCAAAAACAAAATAAAGGGATTTGCAGCAGCTGATCGCGATTCCGTTGGCCTGCCTCTCTGGGTCTATGTTTAAGTTCATTTACACATTTCATAGCCAGATTCGATCCTCGCTTGCCCTGAAATTCCACCTCCCGTAAAATGTTACTGGAAATGTTCTTCCTAGACAGCTTCCTGAGTGTACAGGAATCAGGTTAAAGATAAACAGACACACTCCGGTCGTTGAAGCATCCCTTTCCAAAGTCAACCGCAATTAGGATTGGGATCCGAATCGAATTCACTTTAATTTGGATCTTGGCGGATTAGACAGTTTGGTGCAATTAGAAAGTTGCGGAGTGTGGTCCCTTTGACAGACATTATACAGTATATGTTCTCACAGACACGCATAATGTTTTAAATTGTGAATTACTTACTTTACTGATCGGGTTTCTACTTTAAAGACTACATTAATTAGAAGTCACCCAAGATTGAATATATCTTTTTCATTGAAATTGATAGCCATTTTAATAACTATTAGAGGCAGTAACTTGCTCCGCAGAAGATTGCTGCAAGTACAGTAATATGTTTTCAGGAACTGGAGACGGAAAATAGAGCAGCTCCCTGGCTCAGGAGGTTGGTCCTTACCGGCTGCAATCTCAGGGGCTCCTTTCATGGGCTTTCATCTTGTCTCCGAGCTGGGGATGTCAGGCTTAAAGTGAAGGGCAAACTAATAAACGGTTCGAGCTACCGTTTCCGCTGTTTAACAGGAATCTTGCACCACATCCGCCCGTTGTGCTTTGAGACTCAGTCAATCATCGAACTCGAGCCCTTCTCCTTGGTTAGGCGTAAACCATAACTGACACTGAACTGGGGTTACCAACCCGCCAGGAGTCTCCAGGGATTCATCTGCCGCGCATGTTTTTTTTATATACTTTCCCCTACTGATATAAAAATATATACTGAAAGTGGGGGAGGATGGAGGCAGTCAGTCATCATCCTTGTTGGGGGTCACTTAAGAATCTGTTTGTTTCCAATTAACCATGGAGGTTAGACCCATGGTTCAGATGAATAAATAGGATGACCAATGGCAGGAGTGTGGATTGGGCAGAAAGCATTTCAGAAATACTAATTCTTCTTAAGCTTTGCACCAAACAAGTCTGATTCTGGGTGCCACAATCTCCACACCATGCTTGGGGAAAGGAGGCAGGTCCCCAACCAGAAAAGGCGTTGAACCCTGTGCTTTTGGAGCAATCTGATCCACACCCTTTCCTCCCAGGGGAGTCAGTGTTGCATACATTTTCATATGCATATTTTAGCCTGAAGCCATAGGTAGTGATGGTTGTTAGAACCCTCACTGATTTTTCATTATTTTTATTCCTTTGTCAATTTTTGCTTGAAGCCCTGAACTGGGAATTGTGAGCTGAATATGCCCTGTGGGCTTTGGGAAACAGCTTGTGGTAAAAGGAAAAGAGATCAAACAAGTTTTTGTTTGTAAGGCCAGGCCTGGAGCCTAATTGCAGGTTTGTTCTTTCTTTAAGCGGTTCTAATAGTCACAGCAACTGGGAAAGAGCATTGTGTTTGAACAGATAGCAAAAATTGGCTATTAATGGGATGGGTTCCAGCAAGACTGGAAGAGATATTCAAGCTGGTATCAGATATTGAATGGTAATTGAGGTGCCAGGAAAAAACAAGTTTATCAGGGTGGGACCAGAGTTGAAGTTTTTTGTTGAACTATGTTTTCTGGAAGAAGAATTGGTGGTATACTGGACAATAAAGAAGTTAATCTAAGATTACAAAGAAATCTTGATCGATTGGGTCAATGGGCTGAGGAGTGGCAGATGGAGTTTAATTTGGACAAATGCAAGCTATTGCATTTTGGTAAAACAAACAAGAGCAGGATTTATACAATTAAAGTAGAGCTTTGGGAAGTGTTGTAGAACAGAGAGACTTAAGGGTTCAGGGACATAGTTTTTTGAAGTTTGCATCACATGTAGACAGAATGGTTAAGAAGGCATTTAGCACGCTTGCCCTCATTGCTCTGACCTTTGAATATAGGATTTGGGATGTCATGTTGAGGTTGTACAGGACATTGGTGAGGCCTCTTCTGGAGTACTGTGTCCAGTTCTGGTCGTCCTCTTATAGGAAGGAATTTATCAAGCTGGAGAGCGATCAGAAAAGATTTATTAGCATGGAAGAGGAAGGTTTAAGTTATAGCGAGAGGTTGGATAGGCTGAGACTTTTTCACCAGAGCATAGGACGTTGAGGGGTGACCTTGTAAAGATTTTTAAAATCATAAGGGATATAGATAGGGTGAATGGCAGATGTCTTTTCCCTGTGGTGGGTGTTTTCAAGACTGGGGCATATTTTTAAGGTCAGAGGAGAAAGATTTAAAAAAGACATGAGGGGCAATTTTTTTTATACTGAGTGATTCGTGTATAGAATGAACCTCCAGAGGAAGTGGTGGATGCAGGCACAGTTACAACGTTTAAAAGACATTTGGATAAGTACATGAATAAGAAAGGTACGGAGGGATATATGCCAAGCAATGGGCAGGTGGGACTAGTTTAGTTTGGGATCACAGTCAGCATGGACTGGTTGAACTGAAGGGTCTGTTTCAGAGCTGTAACACTCTAAGAGTGACTGTTGATGACACAGCACGAAGATTTGAAAACCCCATGCCTAACTTCCCTTAACAGTTTTCAGGAGCCCAAAAAGTAAAAAGCTGAGTTAGAAATTTTACTGTCTTTACCTGAGTGAACTGAAAAGGTGACCCTGATTGATGTCTCCAGAAAAGCAGCCAAGGAATTTACATCTATGCCTGTGAAAAATCGCATTGTGAAACCATTTAAGTAATTTGGCCAGTTTTGTGATGTTCTTTTAGTTATTCCCTTAACCATGTTCGTTTGTTTGAATTTTATGTGAAGGGGGGCTGAAAACAAAGGGTTTGGGATTAAAGCATATTAATCTTTAACTTAATATTAACATTTAAAGCATAGACATAGACTACCTTGTTTAAAATTTTCTCTGCTGAAGTTATATAATAAATTGTTAGGTCTTTTGTTTAAAATGTAGAACTGGTGTCTGAAATTAATTATACGTAAAATCTGAGATTGATTATTCAAAAATCTAGTTAGGAACTACTGAAATAACTATTAGGGGTCTTCGAAGGTTTTAGTTCTACAGTGTTGTGAATACAGGGGTATTTAGTTTGGCTGTCTGTCTCCATGTAGTAACATGGTGGAAGATCTCTTTCCATCATAAGGCTGACCAGGAATCTCTTGCACTCTGACCAGCTGCCATTGGTGTTGGATGGATTTACAAGTTGGTACTGAACCTGTCTGGCCACATTTTGAACACACCTTTCTTGGTTATCAATCCTGGAGTGGGACTGAAACCAGAGCTTCTGCTCCTGAGATAGAGATGTTACCCACTGAACCAGGAGATCTCTCTTCACAAATCCATCCTATTTTTATTACCCTAAAAAAAGGAGCAGGCCCTTAAGCACATTCTACCAATTAGACAATGGCTTAATTACATGTTTAAGTGTAGGAAAAATTAATGTACCCACCTTAATTTTGGAACAAAACTTTTGGCTTATCATTCTCTGTTTTGAAATGCCTAAATGATTTCCTTGCATCAAGAGGATTTTGGGGAAGACAGTTCCAAATTTCCATTACCCTTTGCATAAAGAAGTGCTTCTAAGCATTCATCCCCAAATCTAATTTTAACGTTACGACCTCTTGTTCTGGGTTCCTCCACCAGGGGAAATAATCTTCCTTTCAAATCCTTTAATCACCACAATTAGGTCACCCATTAATCTTCTAGTTTAAAATAAACAATGGAAATTACAATGGAAGATGGAGTTTGTATCTGGTTGACCACTGATGGATTGGTAGATCAATAAATGACAGCAGTTCATCTGTCTCCCTTTTTACAAGCATAGAGCAAGGTAATACACTGTGGAAACTCAAATAAATTGGCCCACCTTATCTCTTCAGATGCTAATTGCTTTTTATTTTCAGCACTCATGTTTTCTACAATTAGTCTCCTAGAACTTAGTTGAATGGAAATATCAAAAAAATCTGCAATTTTAAGGAAAACATTGGATTATTATTTTAGTTCAAGAATGAAGACTGGTTTGGCTCACTGCCCCAATCTTATATTCAGATTTACATTCACAGGAGATTATTTACTAGAAATTCAAAGACTTCAAGCTTAAATTTTCTTTGCATCATTTTAAAACTAGTTTTTGTTGCATAAACCAGCACTCAGCATGCAGAGTTCATTTGAGGTTCTAGAGAAGATGTCCATTTAGACAGGAAGTGCCAGACTGAAAGAGCTATTGATATCAACACCACTGAAACTTTATAGATTCCAAAACAAGAAACTGAAAGTTCAAGTTTACACCAAAGTCCACGACAAATGTATCTTTTTCATAGCAAGGTTGATGACTCTAATGCCACGGCCTTGATTCATTAAGTAGTGCTTTTGCCTCTGAGTCAGATGGTTGTGGATTCAAATCCCACTTGAAGGACTGGAGCAGAAAATCTCGCTGACATTCCAGCACAGTAGTGAAGACACACTGCACTGTTGGAAGCACTGTCTTTTTCAATGGAACGTTAAACAAGTTTGCTTGTATGAAAGATGTCATGACACAAATTCAGAGCAGAGGAGTTTGGTGTCTTAACAAATATTTATCCTTCAACCAACATCATAATTATACAACAACAAAAACAAAGTTGCTGGAAAAGCTCAGCAGGTCTGCCAGCATCTGTGAAGGAGAAAACAGAGTTAACGCTTCAGGTCTGGTGACCCTTCCTCAGAACACAGTTCCTCAGTTGTTTCAGAACTCAGTTCCTCAGTTCTGAGGAAGGGTCACCGGACCTGAAACGTTAACTCTGTTTTCTCCTTCACAGATGCTGCCAGACCTGCTGAGCTTTTCCAGCAACTTTGTTTTTGTTCCTGATTTACAGCGTCCGCAGTTCTTTTGGTTTTTATCATAATTATACGTTTAGTCACAGAGATTCATAGAGTTGTACAACATGGAAACAGACCCTTCGGTCCAACTCATCCATGCCAACCAGTTATCCTAAGTTAATCTAGTCCCATTTTCCACCATTTGGCTCATATCCCCCTAAGCCCTTCCTATTCATGTACCCATCCAGATGCCTTTTAAATTTTGTAATTTTACCAGCCTCCACCACTTCCTCTGGCAGCTCATTCCACACACGCACCACCCTCTGCATGAAAAATTTGCCCCTTTGGTCCTTTTTATATCTTTCCTCTCTCACCTTAAACTATCCCCTCTAGTTTTGAACTCCCCTACCCTGGGAAAAAGACCTTCCTATTCATCCTATCCATGTCCCTCATGATTTTATAAACCTCTACAAGGTCACCCCTCAACCTCCGACACTCCAGGGAAAATAGCCCCAGTCTATTCAGCCTCTCTCGCTCGCTCAAACCCTCCAACCCCGGCAAATCCGTGTAAATTCTTTCAGCACCCTTTCAAATTTAACAACATCTTTCATATAGCAGGGAGACCAGAATTGAACACAGTATACCAAAGTGGCCTAACTAATGTCCTGTACAGCCACAACATGACCTTCCAACTCCTATTATCAATGTACTGACCAAAAAAGACAAGTGTACCAAACACCTGCCCTGTCTACCTGTGACTCCACCTTCAAGGAACTATGAACCTGCACCCCAAGGTCTCTTTGT